TTCCCATTCTCACTTTTTCACATTGCACAACTTGCTTTAGGAATGCAAGTGTTTTGTGACAATCTGAGTTTAGTTAGATCCTTGGTTTGCTGGGAAAATTTTCCATGAAAAGGATAATTTCAGACAACAGGTACACTAATTGCCTCGCAGCACAGTTAAGTACAAATGGGCTAGATTCACTGATAGTCTTCCAACGGTAGTGGCAATCCAAGCTTACCTTCTGGTGTCCTAACTTGCAGCCCATGACTTTCTCTGCCACATCATTTGTCAGTTAAGTACTGCAAACTCTTTTAAATCCTTTGCAGTATTATTTCATTTGCGCTTTACAGTCTTTATAATTGAGGCACACAGAAAAGTTAAGTAACCTTTCCAACACTTCTTGGCCAATAAGTAGAGATGTAGAAATCCATACTGAGGCAGTCTGGCTCACGTTCTGATCCTGGTTGAAGAGGAATCATATTCTTCACAAAATCATTTTTCTGATATTTTTTCTCAACTCAGATGCTCAGTGATATTATTATTATAAGGAAGTATCAACATTTAAGATTGAGAGTATGAGATGTGAACATGGAGGCTCCTGACATTTCGTACCTACATTTTAGCTACGCTTTCTGGAAATTCTTCTTTAGCTCTAAAATCAATCAGATGATGATCTCAGGTCTTCAAATGTTAACAGGATCTGTGACTGGAGAAAGTGGGGATATGTGTGCCATACCGTGATAAAATGTGTTTCAGGATTGTTAAGAAGAAGACCTTCTCTCACCAGGATCATGTTCATATTGTTGCACAGGTAGAAAAGATAATGGCTCCTNCATAATAATCATATACATTGTATATTGACAAAATAAAAATTTAATGGAAAAAAAAAAGAAATATACTACTGGGATTGTTTGAAAAACTACTGTTAAAAGTATACAAAATAGTCTAAATATAATTCAGTGACTCTAGACATTATACATAGTCTTTTGTTTTAAGATGTTGGAAAACATGAAAAAAATTACTCAAATTTTATGTACGTAAATATTATCTTAACCTATCATCACTCCTTGTCATGAACATAATATGAACATAATAAGAACATAATGTGACAAGAGAAATAGACATTAAAACTCTCTGCAAAAAAGAATTTAAAAGTTATGACAGATAATTTACTAAGCATTCTACTAATATATCTACACAGTTTAACAAGATGACTGAGAAAAAGGAGACTGATGCAGTTTAACAATCATGACTGAGAAAAAGGAGACTGACGGTGGGCAAGAAAGCTGCCAGAAGAAGATGAGTTTTTCACTTTTGGGGATGTCATCTTTTTTTTCTTAGATT